AAAAAAAGAAAAGAAAAAGGAAAAAAGATCGAAACAAAGAATGAGATCTGAATCACATAGAGGGAAGTTATACACATTAGAGCAGGGAGAAACTTAACTAAAATTTAAGAAGGGGTCAAAAAATTTTTTTATCACATGTAAATATAATAATATAATTATAATACATGCAATATAAGATGTGACTTAATATGAAATATAATACTACAAAATTAAATTATTTGATTTGCTCAAATTATAAGAGTTAATAGAAGAAATTTTAACTAACAATAAAATAATTTGAGTTTATAGTATCATGAAATAAAACTATTTCAAAATTTTATATTATAATTTAATAACAATGAAATAAAATTATTTATTACATAAAAGATAATACTATAAAATTAAATTATTTCATCTATAATGTGAGCATTAGAGCTAATTTATAAATTATATATGATAGATATCTTCAAGAAGTAAGAAATTAAAATTGTTTTTTAGTCATAAAAATTAAAATTGTTTAACCAATTAAAAAAATTAAGAATGTACAGTATAAAATAAAAAAAAAGGATAAAAAGAGACTTAATAGATAAAATTTTAATTAGAAACGAAATATAAACATCTATTTTACAAATAGAAGAATGGTTGAGGGGACGGGTAGAATTTAGGTTTAGAAATTTTAAGATTAGTTAAGGATTTTAAAATTGTTTTTTATGATATACTTTTAAAGAACTGATGCTTTCTAAGATTTTTTTAATTATAATCACAAAAGAAAAATAAAAGCATTTCATATATTTAATTTCTTTTATTTTGAATAAATTTTTGGATTACACTTAGACCCTTGAAATATATATGTACTAAAATTTTCAAGTTAAATATTTACTTATTTACTAAATTTATTTTTGTATATTAGTTTTTTTTTATTATTTTAATTAAAAAACTTAAAAATGTTAATTTTTTTTCCAAAAGGACAGGGGGGCGGTGCCCTCCCCTGCCCTCATCATGCTCCGCCACCGTATTAGATATAGCATGTATCCATGATTATAAAAAGGATGAACCAAAGTTAGAAAATGGTTAAATGTTAATTTTAGTCCCTCAACTTTATAGCCTTGCACTTTTTTTTGTCTCTCAAGTTTTTTTTGCACTTTTTGATCCCTTAACTTTAAAAATTACACAATTTTAGTTTTCCGTCAATTATCTATGATGTGGCAATTAAGCAATTCTAGAATGACATTTTCTTTTAATCCTTTTGATGACATGTCAATAACATGTATTGTAATTTACTTACGATGTACAAACAATAATGCCAAATAAGATGAACATTCATATTTTTAATTAAAAGAAATAAAAAACAAAAAAGTTATCTTAGCACCTTGGTCTCGCTTTCTTGATCCATCTTCATCCTCTCTTTCTTTTGCTTTGCTCTAGCTAATGTTGAACACAGCTACTGGTTCAATGAAACCCACTTGCTAGGTTCCATCAAACCTAGCAGATCTCATCAAATCAAACTAAGTCCTCATTCACTTACTAATAAATAATGTCAATCAAACCTTGATCAAATTTTAACATAAAATACAATCAAATTCTAGCAAATCAACTCCCAAAATTTGAAAAAACCTATAAAGAATAGATACAATAGGCAAATCAAGAATTGAGAATGGAAAGGGAAAGAAGAACTTAGATTTGTTGCATTCCATTGAACTCACTTGCTAGGTTTCATTGAACCCAATAGTTGGGTTGGAGGAACCCAGCAGCAGGGTTCGATGGAACCTAAATCTGTTGGGTTCTGATATAACTTAGAGCAGTTGAGTTCCAACAAATCCATCAACAAGGTTCGACGAAACCCAGATCTATTGGGTTCCATCAAACCCAATTGTTAGGTTCTGATAGAACCTAAAGCAACTAGGTTTGAGGAACCCAAATATGCTAGGTTCCACCGAACCCAGCAACTGGATTCGAAAGAGAAAGGAAGAAAGAGGGGAAGAAGATGGATTGAGAGTCGAAGATGAGTTTTTTATTTTTTTTATTAAAAATATAAATGTTCAACTTACTTGACATTTTTAGTTGTACATGTAATCAAATTATATGACATATTATTGCTATGTCATCAAAAATTTTTTTAAAAATGTCATACTAGAATTATTTAACTGGCATGTTGTAGTTAACTGATGGATGGACTAAAATTGTATAATTTTTAGAGTTGATGGATCAACAAAGTGCAAAAAAAATTAAAGGATGAAAAAAGAGCAAAACTTAAAGTTGAACAACTAAAATTAATATTTAACCTTAGAAAACTCTTAATATTGGTGGTATATTATATTTAATAATTTATATTGTGTAATTTGATACAGTATGAATTATTAAATATATTTTTTTATAATTAATTTGTTAATTAAAAAATAAATACTTATAGACAATAACAAATATTAGTTTGTTAGTAAGGTTTTTCTAACATGTGCATAGATACATTAATTATATTTTTAATCAATTTATATGAAAATTATATAAAAATTGATTTTATTTTTTAATATCAATTAATGTCACACAAAAATATTATAATTAGACAATTAATAAAATTAAAATTTATTTTTCTGTACAAATTAATTAGTACCTAAGTTTATTTTTTTATTGTCACAATTATTATTAAAAGTATTCCAAATTTAATTTGTCACACTTTTTTTTATTATTTAAAATTAGTAAAAAGTCAACTGGTGTCCCAGTCCCGCTGGGATAAAGTCAAAAGTTAACACGGGAGAAAGTAGATGTGTGTGGTTATTGTTTTTATAAAAAAATTATTAAGGGTATTTAATTTTTATTTTATTTTTTTAAATAATAAATTTATTTATTTAGAGTTTATTTTAGAATAATAATTTTTTATTTTTTAAAAAATAAATATTTTTTATATTAACTTCATTATTATCTTTTAATTTTAATTATCTATATTTTCATTAAATCAATTAATTATTTATATTTAGTTCTTAAGAATGAAATATATAAAAATAAAAATTATTTTCAAATTCTTAATATAAAAATATTATAAAGCGAACGACTTAAATAATTTAATAATAATTTTTTTATTAAAAATAAAAAATCTTAAATTTGTGTTGCATGATATGTTGATGTAATGAGATAAATGATAAAAGAGAGTTATCCCTCGTTATGCAACTAACATAAAAAAATAAAAAATATATATTATTTTGAAACAAATAAATATTTTTTTCTCAAATAATGTATAAAAATATCAACTTGTTAATTAATTTTAATTAAAAATAATATTTTACTATAATTTTTAGTGGCCAAACCCTTTTACAGGTGCCCATAACCCTGCCCAAACGTCTGGTGCGTTCCCGTACACAGACTATCAAGAGCTAAAATCCAATTCTCGGAAGCTCGTCAGTCTCTATCAACACAAGTGGGCCAGTATTTTACATCGAGGGTCGCCTATTGGATGCATTAGCGTCGATGATTACGGCCAAACAGAACAAAAGTCGCACGATTGAATGCATCTTATCCCACAATGCGTATTCCTCTGCCATACACACAAAACGACAAAACGGAAACCCAGTTCTACATATTATTAAGGTTAAAACCCCTTTTTGGTCCCCGAACTATTGTACGGACCCCCGATTTAGTTTTTGAACTAAAAAAATCCCTGACTTGGTCCCTACTGTTTACCCATTTTACCCCAACTTGGTCCTTCCGTTAAAAATATAGTGACGTGTCCCGTTAATTAATTGAGTATGATGACATGTCAAAATTTCTGACACCTCAACTGTACACATGGACAAAACACGTCAGATTTTGGGCCAAAAAAATTAAATTGTGGGGCCCACCTCCAGCCCCTCAAACGCACTATCTTCTCCCCCTTCTTCCCCTTTCAAACCCTAGAAGAGCAGTTCTCCACTAGGTTCT